CATCATATTATTCTTTACACTAATACTGTTATTTATACTAATACTTTACCATTTATTCTTATTGTTCATGACGATTTTCACTACCATTTTGAATATCCAGACTCCCTCAATAACACAGAAAAGGTTATGCACCTATACTCTACGCCTTCTTTTCATAAGCCAGTTCAGTTTTTGTGGCTACGAAACACTGAATGTCATTGTTTGCGATAAAATAGATTTATAGCGTCTCGAAAACAGCGCTAATTCTTGGAACTACTGTTTGAAACTCATGACAATTCTTAAAAAGAAAGGTAATTTTTATTTTGAACTGATAATTTTGTTATGAATTAACAACTTCCAAACCTGACTACTTTTAGCAAATGAGATTGGCCTAATTGAATGGAGTAAAAATATTCATCAATAAGCAAGTTAGAAATTGAAAGTATTTTCATTCAAAAATGCTATGATAATTTTATTTTGATCTTTTAATTTTGCTGCATAATATTTTTCACATTACCGTTAATTACAATTTAATTCGGAGCGATATTAACTTCAAAAAAAAGCTAAGCTAATTATTAGCTATCTGTACAAATAATATCTCTGAGTGAGAAAAATATGTGATATTGTAATTAACTTATAAGTGATAAATGAAGTGGTGCATGTTGTCAAGTAGAAATAGAAATATTCTCGAGCTATTTTATTAACGAGTTATTTTATTAACTTAATTTTCTTCTTTTCACGATACAATTTTCAGAGAAGGTTTTCAACTTGACCTATACTCTACGCCTTCTTTTCATAAGCCAGTTCAGTTTTTTGAATACCGGTTGTTGCATTTTCCTTCTCTCTATAATGCTACGCTAATAAAAATCAACAATTAATTTACAATTGTAAAATGCATGCGACAGTTTTTAAACAATATATAAAATTAACATGCTAAAATTACAGTTGCTCCTGCCACATCTGCAAATTATCTAGTACAATAAGAACACTCTGTAACTTATATACAAAGTTATGAAAGCAAAGACAACAAAATATGAGATGAAAAAAAGATATGGTGAAGTATGAGTTAGAAAACACTCTGCCATGCACTTGGAATCTGCAAGACACGATCTTCAAAACGCATTAAGGCCTTATTAGACAAACAATGCCTTAGAAGAAAATAAAATGTTGTGACATGAGAAATAGGTACTTATGAGGCAATCACTCTCTGAATATACAGAAAGTCATTAGAGACAACATGTACTGATTCTTTTTACAACTGAGTTAATAGCACA